TGTGGAAAGACAAATTATTCTCTTGAATTGCTCCCAGTCTAGGGATAGTTTGTGTTCAGGGCTGACATGTTTTCTCCCTTTCCTCATGTTAATAGCCTCTTTAATCAGCTACTAATTATGTGCAATGGGGAAACAATTCAGTCAACAGGCCATCTTTCCCTTTCCATTTTTTAAAAATCAATTGAATACCTTAAGTTGAGTACATCTACAGGACATGGGCCAAAATGTATTTATAAAATATTATTAGTGATGTGCTCTCAGACGTTTAACATACGTGACTTTGAGCTCTAGGCTCCTGCAATACTCCCGTCCTTGAGTTTTTGCCTAGCAGAAGATCTCTTGGGAAAAGGGAGTAAAGCTCCTACATAGAGCTGCATATTGTCTCTTGAGGTCCTTATCTGGAATTGGGCACAGATTCATGACTTCTTGCTCTCCTACAGCTGTCATCACCAAGGCTGCTCACACACCATACATTTATAGTCCACACAGCCCAATAATCATGGGAGCTGTAGTTTACCTCTCACAGAGCCAGAATTCTAAATATCCCTGAACTACAGTTCCCAGGATTCTTGAAGGGAGGAAATGTGTTAGAAATGTATGGTGTGTACACAGATAGGTTCAAAATTTTAGGTCATCAGGAGTATATATTTTTGGTACTAAAAGAGAACCAGTGATTTCCAATCTGTTTTCGAAGCTCAGTTTATGGTACTAGTGCTTACCTATAAACCCTAGGAATTTGATATCCAGGAATTTGAAGGAACTCACCCCACATATACCTACCCAAACTTTGAGATCTTTCTCTTTTCCAAAGCTTTCTAGAGTTTTAAAGAGTTTACTAGCCTATTGTATTTAGCTACTGGTTTATTGCCTTGTGGGATATCTTTGGGAGAGGAAAAGGTTAAGGAGGAAACCCTACACAAATCCAGAATGGAGTCCCTAAGATGGTTGGATGGCATCTTGTAAGCCTCCTTCCAGCAACTCCTGCAGACAAGCTGGTGCCAAACGTATTACAGTCGTACCTTGGAAGTTGAACGGAATCTGTTCCGGAAGCTCCTGCAGCCAATTGGAAGCCACGGAAGTTGGACGTTCAGCTTCCAAAAATAGTTCGCAAACTGGAACAGTCACTTCTGGTTTTGCGGCGTTCGGGAGTCAAAACGTTTGAGAACTAAGCTGTTTGGAAACCAAGGTGCAACTGTACTTTGTTTTCCTTTGGACCACATCAGTGATGCTGAGACCTCCAGCCCAGGCAGCTCAGGACCTCCATGGACACTGTCCAGGTTTGCGCCCCAGAGAGGTCACTCTGGTGCTGCTAATGCAGCAAAACAACATGGAAGGCAGCAGTTACGAGTTACCGGCCTCTGTAGCAATAGCAGGCATTGTGATTCTCCAGCAATTCGACTTCACCTCCGTAAGCACACTCCATTGTTACAGACGGATGCCAACATTATCACTGTGGCAAACTTAATCTATTGTGATTGTATTTCAGCCTTAATTTTGTAAACCATTCTAGAATCTTCAATGAAAGGCAGTAGAAACTCATAAATAAATACATAGGTTTTACTGCTATATAGTGAATTTTCCTACTGAGCATTCTACTAACCTGCCATTGCTTTGAATCCTGGTTCTCTAATTGTGAGTTCTATGATGATGGTTGTGGAAGATGATAGTGGTTGTGAAATCCTCTAATGTAAACTGGGTGTAGTGTGATCAAGTGGTAATGAAAGGAAGATTCACCTGAACAATATGCTTGAAGAATAAATTTACCCTGTCAACACACTACATTGCCCAGTGGATATTGCAAGTAGGAATGTAAATCATTTTAGTGCAAAAATGTGAAATTTTATGAACATTTAGAATTAATTAAAGCACATTTGACTTTCCATTTAAATTCTTCCCGGAATCCCACAAAAGGCTGTTGCTTCTCATTAACTGGTATTTGGTAGCATACTGCAGATGTGGGGAACCTGTGACCAGCCGGGTGCTGTTGGACTACAACTCCTATCATTCCTGAACACTGGTCATACTGGCTGGGACTGATGGGAGTTGGAGTCCAGCAGCATCTGGAGGGTCATGGGTTTCCCCACCTCTGGCACAGTACCTACATATTTAGAGATTCTATATAGCTATCAGGTCTAATAGCCAATGATAGGCTTTTCCTCCCCTTCAAAAGCCATTTAAGCCAGTGGTAAACATTACCATAGGGACACGGGTGGCACTGTGGGTTAAACAACAGAGCCTAGGACTAGCCGATCAGAAGGTTGGCGGTTCGAATCCCCGTGACGGGGTGAGCTCCCGTTGCTCGGTCCCTGCTCCTGCCAACCTAGCAGTTCGAAAGCACATCAAAGTGCAAGTAGATAAATAGGTACCACTCCGGCGGGAAGGTAAACGGCGTTTCCGTGCGCTGCTTTGGTTCTCCAGAAGTGGCTTAGTCAAGCTGGCCACATGACCTGGAAGCTGTATGCCGGCTCCCTCGGCCAATAAAGCAAGATGAGCGCCACAACCCCAGAGTCAGCCACGACTGGACCTATTGGGCAGGGGTCCCTTTACCTTTACTTTAAACATTACCATATCTTGTGGCAGAAAATTCTATGAATTCATTATCCACTGTTTGGAGCAGCACTTCCTTTTATCTGCATGAATCTATTGCCAATCAATTTCACTGGATGATCTGAATTTGTAGTACAGTGGTACCTCGGGTTAAGAACTTAATTCGTTCTGGAGGTCTGTTCTTAACCTGAAACTGTTCTTAACCTGAAGCACCACTTTAGCTAATGGGGCCTCCTGCTGTCGCAGCGCTGCCGGAGCATGATTTCAGTTCTTATCCCGAGGTACACTGTATTATGAAAGGGAGATAAATGTATATCTCTCCACTTTCTCCACATCATCTGCAATTTGATAGAACTGTTTTTGCACCTCCTCTTAGACAGCTCCCCTGTCCAAATATTCCAGCCTTTCCTTGAAGGAAAATCACTCTAGCCTCCAAATAATGCCCTTTTCTGTACCTTTCTCAGCTCTGTGATGTCCTTTTGACAAGAAAGGACTGTAGCACAGTAGGCAAAGGTTCTGATTTCAACTCCTAGCATCTCCTGGTAGGGCTGGGAAATACCCCTGTCAAAAACCATGAAGAGTGTCAGAGAAAGTAGACAGTACTGCTTTAGGTGAACCAATGGTCTGAATTGATATAAGACAGTTTCCTATGTACCCAACGTTACCTTTCTGAGATAGAACTAAGGATTCTTCACAGCATCCTGAATGTGGCTGTGGCATTGATTTATATGAAGGCATTGCAATACTGGCATCTTTATTTTAAATCGCTTCCTAGAAGTCTCCAGCATTGAATTTACATTTTCCACAACCATTTTTGATTACTATTGATCTATCCATCATTAGTCCAAGACCACTTTTTTGGAGAGCCATAGCCAACTCAGATCCCATCAATGTGTAGTTGCTAAATGAGTCTCTTTCTGCAAAATACAACACCTTCTGATCAGTCGCCTGTCTTTCAGATGTCTTCAGAAGACTGGAAACAATATACAGTGGTACCTCAGGTAAAGTACTTAATTCGTTCCAGAGGTCCGTTCTTAACCTGAAACTGTTCTTAACCTGAAGCACCACTTTAGCTAATGGGGGCCTCCTGCTGCCGCCGCGCTGCCAGAGCACAATTTCTGTTCTCATCCTGATGCAAAGCTCTTAACCTGAGGTACTATTTCTGGGTTAGCGGAGTCTGTAACCTGAAGCATATGTAACCTGAAGCGTATGTAACCCGAGGTACCACTGTACTTTATTCTAAATTTTAGAAGATGTATGAGGCACAATCAGTTGGGCAGGCGATCAGACCTGTAAGCCACCCCTGTCCTAAACACATGTATCCACTCTATCCACAGAATGTTAGAATCATAGAATCATAGAGTTGGAAGAGACCACAAGGGCCATCGAGTCCAACCCCCTGCCAAGCAGGAAACACCATCAGAGCACTCCCGACATATGGTTGTCAAGCCTCTGCTTAAAGACCTCCAAAGAAGGAGACTCCACCACACTCCTTGGCAGCAAATTCCACTGTCGAACAGCTCTTACTGTCAGGAAGTTCTTCCTAATGTTTAGGTGGAATCTTCTTTCTTATAGTTTGGATCCATTGCTCCGTGTCCTCTTCTCTGGAGCAGCAGAAAACAACCTTCTCCCTCCTCTGTATGACATCCTTTTATATATTTGAACATGGCTATCATATCCCCCCCTTAAGCTCCTCTTCTCCAGGCTAAACATGCCCAGCTCCCTTAGCCGTTCCTCATAAGGCATTGTTTCCAGGCCTTTGACCATTTTGGTTGCCCTCCTCTGGACATGTTTCAGTTTGTCAGTGTCCTTCTTGAACTGTGGTGCCCAGAACTGGACACAGTACTCCAGGTGAGGTCTGACCAAAGCAGAATACAGTGGCACTATTACTTCCCTTGATCTAGATACTATACTCCTATTGATGCAGCCCAGAATTGCATTGGCTTTTTTAGCTGCCGCGTCACACTGTTGGCTCATGTCAAGTTTGTGGTCAACCAAGACTCCTAGATCCTTTTCACATGTACTGCTCTCAAGCCAGGTGTCCCCCATCTTGTATTTGTGGCTCTCATTTTTTTTGCCCAAGTGCAATACTTTACATTTCTCCCTGTTAAAATTCATCTTGTTTGTTTTTGCCCAGATCTCTCATCTGTCAAGGTCGTTTTGAAGTGTGATCCTGTCCTCTGGGGTGTTAGCCACCCCTCCCAGTTTGGTGTCATCTGCAAATTTGATCAGGATGCCCTTGAGTCCATCATCCAAGTCGTTGATAAAGATGTTGAATAAGACCGGGCCCAAGACAGAACCCTGTGGCACCCCACTAGTCACTCTTCTCCAGGATGAAGAGGAACCATTGATGAGCACCCTTTGGGTTCGGTCAGTCAGCCAGTTACAAATCCACTGAGTGGTAGCAAAGGTTTCTTCGTACCTGCAATAAACACTGAGACAAGCAAAATGACGCACAACTTCCTTGTATACACTGCAACACAGAAACACATATGTAACCATTTCACAAGTATTTCATCAATCAAGCTTGTGCCATTGGCAACACAAAGAAATCTGGGGAGATGCATTTTCATCGTAAGAGAGCTGTGACTGCAAAGGAAGGAATTTATTTCCTGTTTCCCTACTACACACTTATACATTTCACTTTCTACCACTCCCTTGGTGACTGCATGGAAACAGCCAATATTCCGCCCAATCCCCTGAGCACATTTCAGACTGAAAGACAAATCCCCCCAGGGAATTTTCTGTTCATCTATAAAGCATCTCTTTTTACTTCTGTCCCTACAGCCAACAGATTTAGATGAGATCAGATGAAAACCTTTTACAAGGCACTGAGCAGTACTGAGCAATGCAATTGGAACCCAAGGCAGAGTTGAGAAATGGATAAATGTCCACCACATATGCCATGGCTGATAACAGCATCTTGTTTGGAAGAATAAGATGTCATTGAGCAACATAGGCTTGGTACATACACACCCAATTCTAGGCTCAAATAAACCTTTATTATTGTTTTTCAAGACAGCTGTGTATTTCTGTGCTCACTAAGCATCCCCAGCTCTCACTGGGCTGTATTGAGGTTTCTCAGCTTCCATTATTGTTCTTTTTTAGGTGGGGTAGACACACTTTGTGCTCAACTCCAGCTCTATTACATTGTTTAACATATGTCTGTTCGTAGCCTTTCTTCCATCCCTGGGGACATTTAAAAATGGCTTCTCATCATGAACCAGGAAGTGACTTATCCAGACAATTAGATGGTTCTTCCTATCCTTTATATATGTGAACTATGTTTCTCTGCTCTGTTCCAGCCACTACATTCTATTCCCTCCTCCACCCAATAGTCAGTTCCCCCTCCACTAATCTTTCTGCATGTCATGCCATTATTACGAGGCTACCATGAGGTTCCTCCATCCCCCCCCCTTCAGATCTATTGTATTTGTGTAAACCTTGAGGTTACCCTGAGTCTGCGGGTGCTTTACCCTTGGTTATCAGTGGTGCAGTTTTGGCTACAAAAGCATGAGCATGGGAAGACTTAAATCAATATTAATATATAGAAAAACATTGCAGTTATTTTCTGACTTCGTCTTAATAAAATTTGATGGGGGAAACCAGTTTGCTGCAGGGAGAATGTAAATTGACAATCCTAATTAAGCCTCCTTCTGAGCTCTGTTTGTCAAATGTAAATGGCCATTTCCCAACAAGCATTGTCTTAAGTTGAGTCTCTAGAGCAGTTAAATTGGCATGATTTTGATCTAGCTCCTGGGGCACTGAAGATCAAATAACAACAACCAACAGATCCTTTGAATCCAGATTAAATTTTGCACTTTGTGGAGCTAATAGTCTTACTAAAGTCAATGACCATGCTAGACTCATTTTGTTGGGTCCCGTTCATGTATTCATGTTCACCGTGATAATCATGGGCTGTTCAATGCACCATGGGTCCAATGCACATTGCAGGACACACTCTTGACCTGGTTTTTGGAACAGAGTAGATTGGGAGAGATTTGGTGACTGGAGGGTATAACCATCACCCCCTGGTCATGGATGGATCTCTCCCTGATGTGGTTTGGAATGATAGCAACTGACTACCCCTGAAGGAATGGGGCTATTAATGTGGTTTGCCCATAGAGACTTATAAAATCCAATGTATTCTTGAATACGTTGGGAATTTTTCTCATTTGAGTAACTGGTGTTCCTACTGAGGGACTGGTTGACCCAACTCCAGAATCAATAGCTTGGCTTGAATAGTTCCAGGGAGGTGCTCCCCTAAGCTGACTTCAAGAGGAAGCAAGGCAACAGTTCTTACCAGGCAAGGATGGAAATAGTAGCTGTCTCCAGAAAAGTGTGACTAGTATGACTGCATGAAGCTCTCCACCCATGCCTTTAGCCATCCACACAATGGCTTCCCTACCCACTTCAGTGACCCAGCAAGTTCACAGCCTCCTATGATATGCATTAATAGCACATCTCCTGACAGAAAATGCAGACCTAAGTGTCTTTTTACTCTCGTAGTGGGATATGGAATTGGAATAGATGGAGTGGAAATTGTGTGATATCTTATGCCTTGGAAATTCAAGCTGCCATCCTATGGCAAGATAGGGGGGCGGGGACCAAAGACATTTTAATCACCTGATCGCAGGGCTTCTGCAGGCAGGACAGAAGAGAAGTCTGGAGGAGTGCTATTGTGCTCTTTTTACTATTTCCCCTCTTTGCTTTGCTTTTAAACAGTTTCGGGGTGGAGGATTAACAGGATAGATTTATGCCAATTTAGGAGCTGCCATCCATCTCTTTGTAGGTTGGGAGCACTGGTGGTGTGGAGAGCAGCAGAGAAGTCCATGGATTCACTTATAACACATCCACCATACATACTACCCTGACATGTCTTCTTTCAAGGCCTGCTGATATTGGAGCTTTGACATCTTCCAGATCAGGGCTGCAGATTTTTCCACAGTGTTGGGCAGGTGAGGGGTCTGACAAATAGATTCCCTCTTAATCACTGGACAGAGTAATTCGATATCCCCAGGATCACAGCCTGACAGAGCAATCCAAACCACACCAGGGCAGCAGTGAGACATGATGAAGTCTCATAGTTACCACCTCATCCATAACCCCATTGCTTACCCCATTCTTCTGGGGCAGAAGGAAGAGAGGCAGACAAATATCTGATGTTGACTATGCCAATCTGGGGCTGGTGTAGTGATCAGGTCTGACATGGACTACTTCAAAGAGTTCTTGTAAGGATGAGATGGTGGGGGAGAACCACGTACACAGCCATGTGCTGCTTGGAGGAAGGGCAGAACAAAAATGTAACAACTAAATAATATATATTTTGCTTACATGAAGCATCTATAGTAATAGATCCAGTTCAAAAGCCTTTTGCTTCCAACTTGTAATGGGCTACATTCTCTGGTCTTGTATGCTTAGCCATGATCCAGAGAATTTTGCTTGCCTAATGATAAGATATTCACACTCCCTGCTTTGCATTAGTCTAATTCTGCAGTGACTTTTCATCCCACCCTCTGCAACAGATGAGCTATATTAATTCTGAGCCAGTTTGCTGGGGACATGAACTCATGTGAACCACCAGTGTGCATAACGCATAGGCAATATTACTGCCCCTTTGACTCTGGTGGTGACTAATCCACTGTAAAATTAAATTAAAAGGAAACTCAGTGTGTGTGCTGTTGCTTGAGCACAATGCAGGCTGCCTGTCAACATTCCTTTTAGGAATTCCTACTCCTGTACTCACCCACTCAGTCTAGTATGAAAGCGCTCCCTATATCAAGCTCCCCAGAGGATTCATTACATACAGATCTGCAACGTTGTGCATGTATGCAAATGCATCTGCATGCCTACTTAAGGACTGAAGCCTGCCCTATTGCCAATCAAGATATGGCCCAGTGGGTATGGATCATATTCATGCCAGTATGAATTCTACATATAGCACCTGTGTGAGGATCTCAACGCAGCTTGTAAGGATTCCTAAAGGAATGTTACTTTCATGTAGTAATGCCAGTTCTCTCACAGAACGACAATACCAAGGACTCACATGCTAGGAACTGGTTTGAGTTTGTAGCACAAGACTTTCCTGAACTCTAGAGAGTAAAGCGAATAAAGAACAATGAGTCAAAAGAGCTAAAATAGAGGAATCATAGAATAAATGAATCGTAGAATTGTAGAGTTGGAAGCAACACTGAGGGTCATCTAATCCAAACCCCTGCAACTAAAGCATCCATGACAGATGTCCATCCAACCTCTGCTTAAAAACCTCCAAGGAAGGAGAGTCCACAACCTCCTGAGGGAGACCGTTCCACTGTTGAATCTGAACTGGGCTTCTCTACCCCCTTTTCTGACCTGGGTTGCAAGCATGATAACTGTCTATGTCACACTTCCTCCTAATGCAACTATGGAGCTAGGGTAATCATCTTGACCTTCTGGGTTTGTGTACAGTTAAAACTGATCACATTTTTTTGCAGCATTTGGCAATCATTGGTGAAAAGAGGGCATGCAACATGGTAATGTAACAATAAACCTTAAAACTGGTTTGTTCCCCCAGGAGATGGTGATAGCCACCAATTTGGATGGCTTTAAAAGAGGAATAGGCAAATTCATGGATGAGAGGGCTCATTGTCTACTAGCCATGATGCTTATGCTCTACCTCCACAGTTGGAAGCAGCAAGAAACCATGGGAAGGGAAAGTGCTGTTGCGCTCATGTTCTGCTCCCACAGGCATTTGATTGGTCACTGTGAGAACAGAATGCTGGACTCGATGAGCCATTGGCCTGATCCAGCAGACTGTTCTTATGGATAAAGGCACAAGTGATAAAAAAATGTAGTGAGGCATATATTAAGGTTGCGATCCTAGAATTAAGCCCCATTGAACTCAATGACACGTTGGAGTAGACTTGCAGGTGTTTGTGCTGTTTAATCACTAGGGATCAATTTAATGTTTGATGTTGACTATTTGATATTGCATGGCCTGAGTCAATCTCTTTGTCCCAACACAATGACTTCTAAGATCAGCTGGGAATGTTTCTTAATGATGAGCCAAGCCAGGATCACAAGGACAGGCGTAGAGCAGCAGCTCACCAAAGCAGTAAGATTGTATCTTTTGGAAGCAATGTAAGACATTTTTATTCAACCTAGAAAGGATAAGTAGAATAACTAACAACATCTTTATTAACCTGTCCTGGGGCCTTAAGACTGAATGGGCTCTAAATCCAACTGACCAAATAAATAAAATGCTGGCACTTCAGTGATCATGGAAATTGCTACAGCTGTAATCCATTAGTTCTTGGCTCATGCCTCACTCTAGTCACATGATAAGATGCCTTCCTTTTGGGGGCAGGCATCAGAAATTAATGTTTGAACCAGCTCTAAGTTAAAAGAAATAAGAGAGGAAGTGACTGATTGCAGAAAAGTTGCAACAGGCATTGCTGGATTGGAATTGACAGAAGATCTAAGCCTTTGGTCTCAGAACTCAGATTGCAAGTGAAGGGAGTATTAGGCAGGGAAGTCTGAGGGAAATGATGAGGAAGTTGGAAACTGTGAAGATGGTTGAAAACTGCACAGGAAGCCTGAAAAATGCAAGGCCGAGAGAAAGTTATTCAGATTGGATGAAAGGGAAAATAAAGGCAGAGGCCAAAGCAAAGAGGTAACAAGTGATGGGGTGGCAGTGGTGACAATGGGGCTGAACTGGGATGCTCCCACATAGATGCTAAATTGGTTGTGCATGTAACAAGGGGAGAAGAAGAGACAGCTGTGGTCACAATCAAATAGGTGGGTGGGGAACAGATCTGAGAGAATGGCAAGTTTAAAGAGAAATCCATGTGGAGCCTGTTAGAAATGGCTGCATATCTGATGTTGGTAGAGAATTCAGAACCTACCAACTCAGGCTCTACCAGCTTTCATCTTGTGCTCAGATGAGGGATATGGATGTTGGGCAGATGAAAAGTTAATGTAAACTGAGCGGAGCTGCTGGAGTTCCCCCCACTCCCTTTCCTGCAGATCACAAAACTGCCAAGTGAGATCAAACATCAGCTTAGAGCTTCTTTTTTTATTTGGTTATGTTTTCCTGAAGATGACCCTTCATGGGATTCCGAGACCAGTTAGTCTGTTTTCTTACTTTGCTTTCCAAAGTGAGCAAGAGACAGGAGTGGGAAAGAGGTTGAACAGCTGTTGGTGAGAGACCTTTGCCTGTCACACAGCTGTTGAATTTCATTCCGCTCTCTTCCCCCTGCTGAAGCCACATGGCATCCCTTCTGTCATGTGCAGGCCGTGTTTCTCAAAGACACTTTTATGCACTGTTTCTCTGGTGTCAATAAGGCACTCTGTGTGATAAGAATTTGGAGGCCTAAAGCAAGTGAACCAAATATCCATTTGGGGGGGGGTATTACTGAGCACAGTGGATTCCTGTGCTCTGTGATTCTTAGGCTCCTAAGCTCCACTTTAATAAAATATGATACAATGCATTCCACTTACACCATACATTGCTTACTACTAAATGCTGTACTAGACAAATTTTTTTAAAAGTTTGATGATTATTTGCCATCCAGAGCTATGATGACAACTGGCTACATGCATACTGTCACACTTTTATCAGGCCGTTTGTTCACATACCTACATGTTGCTATTTGATACATACTCTATTACAGAAATTAAAGTTACATACTTACACACCAGATCTCACTGCATGCTGGCAAAACTGAAAGAAAGACCTTTCGCATGAAAATGACAAGGAAAAATCATTCCTTCCAGTCTTCAGTTCTGCACATTTCCATATCAGTTTGCAATTTATTCAAAAAATCTCTCATGGAAACCCATTTGCATTTTAGCGCCAATTTTTCCTAATATGGCACATTTCTATGCAATTTTGCCTAGTATAGGTATTATTGTGAAGCTGTTTCCTTAATATTTATATTTTCCCTAATAGCATGCATCCCCCCCCACATTATTTTCACTAATATGTGCATTTCTGTGCACATTATTTGGCTGGAGACCTGCACTGAAAAATTTGAAGAAATGCAAATTACACAGGAAGGCGGTGTTTGCAAATTATTTTGGAAAGTAGAAAAAAATAGGTAGATTTACCTTTTACTCTAACCTGAAACAAAATTGTCCCCCCTCCCAATCCTTACCTTAGGGTGACTTTAGTAAATCAAGAATGAGCATGAGAAATGGGCCTTTTCAAGCACTTTTTCTTTTTCCAGTTTCCGGTTTTGGTGTTCTTTGGCAACACCAGCAGCTGCTTCCCAAGGCTCTCCACCAGCTGACAAGGTGAGAGGACAAGGTGCCTTTAGGAATCTCAGTCAGGTAGCTGCCCTCAGCACAGAGGCAGCCTGGCATAAATATTTCAGGCCTTTTTGTTGTTGTTTTGTAATAATGAGGAACAAAGACAAACACATGGGGAGAGAAATATTTTCCACCCAGGCTGGAGGATTTTAATATTTTATCAGGCAGAGCACAAAATAGTCCTGAATTATCACATGTCAATTGTTATTTTTGAGGATTATTTCTGACCTTTTCAAAACAGGATGCCCATCACGTTTCCAAATGAATGTGGCTAGAATGTTTGCCTTTCCCTGGAGAAGAGTCACACTCGCAACCCCAAAGACACCACCGATTTCCTAATGAGAGGAAACAAAGACCCTGGCAACTGTCACCTTGAGATGTTAGGGCTCAAACTTTGCATTTGCTTCCAACAATTTTGGTGTTATCTTGAAGCATGATCTCTATCCCCAAAGAGGCTCGGCTTATTGGCATGTGAGAACATCCCCTGTTTTCCCTGGCATTATATTCCCTGGCATTATATATAGCTCTCTTTCCTAAAGATTTCTTTTAAAAAGAATTGATGAGTCCTTTTAAAAAAACCATAAGAAGATGGGACTTGGTTAGCTGTGCAACTGAACTAGATTTCTGCTGGGTTGTTTTTAAGTCTAGTAATTTCCTTTCAGACTTTCCACTTTGCAACAGGAAATCAATTGGACAAAGCTGTTAGAACACAGGAAGCTGCCCATATACCAAACCAGGCTATTGGTGCATCCAGGTCAGTGAGGTCTACACTGATTGGTAGCAGCAGCTCTCCAGACACAAATCATTCCCAGCCAGCCCTCCCTGGAGATGCACCTGTTTGGTGCAAAGGATGTGTTCTACCACTGAGCTGCCTACAGCAAAGAAGCATCTGCCCAGTATGTTTCTCATTTCTGGCATTTCTGAGCCACAGATGGCCCTTGGCCCTTGACCATAGCAATCTGGGGCAGACATGACTTGAACAAGGTGCAGATCAGTCCTGCACTACTTAGAGAAGCCTGGGCGTGGGGAGGAATTGCCCTTGTGTGGGCTCACTAGCCACATTTGATGGGCACTTTTGAAAATAGTCTTGAAGTCAGCATGGGAGCAGCTTTCCTGCCATTAGGATGGTTGAAGCAAACAAGATGACTGACCAGTTGTTCTTATTTCTGTGCTGTGTGGTACTGACCTTAATCAGGAGCCTTCTTGTCTTTATCCCTTCTCCATACTCCATCTCCTTTGCCACTGCCCAACCTTTGAGAGCCCAAACCCTTTCACTGGTCTTAGCTGTCCACATACATTTTGACTCAGTAATCAAGAATGGATTTTCTCCTTAAAATCCCAAAGTGTATTCCTGTTTCTTTCAATAATTTATATCCCACCTTAATAGTGCCAGGCTGCCAGTGTTTATGTGGCACCCCTGGCTAACTGAAGTGTGGTGCTGTGGGCTGCATTAAAACTATACATCTGAAAAGCATCCGAAAGCTCATCTTGTCCAACCATCATACATACTTAAGAGCAGAAACACAATGTCCTAAATGCCCCTAACAAATCCATCTATTTAACAGATGAAAAGAGCCAATGATCAAACCTTTCTAAATCTACCCTCTGCTGAATACATCCCTAACTGCATATTTTTCAGTTGGCAATACTTTTTTTTTTGCTAGTTTCCTGTCCCCATTAATTCTGCCACACTTTGTAGTCTTGCCAGCTCTCCCCATACCTTCTTGTCTGGTTTCAAAAGCTGCCCTTTCATGTCCCTGTCTGTCTCACCTCTCATGCTCTTAACATCTTCTCTTAACATCTTTGGCTGGCTAAAACTTTTCTGTAACTTCCCCCACCCCTTATGCCTCATTTGTGCTCTATTTAGCAATTCAGAAGCCCCAAAAGGAAAGTTGCTTCTCCCCATTAAGAAAATGGTGAACACTTTGAGGAGGAAGTAAAGAATTTAAAGCCACAAATACCCCTTTGAGGTGGTTCAAATTAGAGTATGGAACATTGCTGGGAGATAGCAGGGGTGAAACTGCCCTTCACAGCAGGCCATTTTGCATGGCAGCAAGAATCAGAGAGAATTCAGATGACCCTTCTGTAAAATCTGAGCAGGCTGGTTGAGTGGTGGTGTGGTTAGGCATGACCCCTGGCACATCAAGAAACATCTGTTATGTACTAAACTTGGATCCTAGAACAATAGGCAGGTAGGGTCCTAGAATGCAACAACCTGATTGGCCTGCAGGAGCAGCCCAACCAGGCTCCAGGAGGGAAGCAGAAGCAGCCAATCAGATGGGACCCATTGTGTTAATAATGTATATAAAGCTAGAGGGTTTTTTTGGGGGGGGGATTTATTC